TTTTTCATTTTATCGCTTTGTTTTTTTTTGTTTGCTGTGGGTAAGGAAAGGGAAGAATGGAGGGTGAAATGTATTTTTTTTTATTTGTTGTGTGATTTTTGTTTGTTTGTTTGTTTGTATGTGTTTGTCTGTCTTATGATCTCTTTCGTTTTTTCTCTCTTTTTCTTTCTCTATCTCTCTTTCTCTTTCTCCTACTCTTTCTCTCTCTCTTCCTCTTTCTCACTCTCTACTCTCTCTCTCTCTTTCTCTCCCTCTCCCTCTCCTTCCCTCTCCCTCTCCTTCCCTCCCTCTCCCTCTCCCTCTCCTTCCCTCTCCCTCTCCCTCTCCTTCCCTGCCTCCCAACATCTTCCCTCCTTCTCCCCCACCCTCCCTCTCCTTCATCGCTCTCACCAACATGCTAAAATTACTGAGGCTTCAAAATAAGCCTTTTTTACCAGGGCAATACAGCTCATTCTCACAGTGGAGTACAAGATAATCATAATAACAGCAATTGAGAATATGATAATGAGTGTGATAATAAGGAAAATGTTAATTATGATAGTAATAATAGTGATATATAGTAATGATAATGATAGTGATATTAGTAATGATAATAGTAATAATTTTGATGATGATGATGATGGTAATGATAATAATGATAATGATAATGGTTATGATAATACTGCTAATGATAATGGTGATGGTAATGATAATAATGATAATAATAAAAACAATAATAACAGTAACAACAATTATAGTAATTATTATAATAATCATATAATAATGATAATAACAGCAGTAATAACAGTGATAATAATAATGATAGAAATATTAATAACAATTATAACAATTATAATAATGATAGTTTAAATAAACAGACTATTTTGATAGTACTGCTGTGACAACAATAATACAAGTTATGGCAATACTGAGAGAGAGAGAGAGAGAGAGAGAGAGAGAGAGAGAGAGAGAGAGAGAGAGAGAGAGAGAGAGAGAGAGAGAGAGAGAGAGAGAGAGAGAGAGAGAGAGACTATTATGTTACTATTATCATCCTTATTATTATTATTATCATTATCATTATTATTATTATTATTATTATTATTATTATTATTATTATTATTATTATTATTATTATTATTACTATTACTATTACTATTGCTATCATCATCATCATCATTATCATCATCTTCATCATCAACACCATCATCCTCATTTTTATTATCATCGTCACCATTATAATAATCAGCGTTATTGCCACTGCTATCATAATGGTATCGATCAAGAAAACAACAACAACAATAATAATAACAAAAAATATCCATTTAACCAAACGAGAGAAAAATACCTTTCTCTCCCCCCTCAAAAAAAAAGAAAGAAAGAAAAAAAAAGTGAAAATGTAAATCAACGTAAATGAAAAAAGAAAATGCTTTGAACATAGCACTGTTATAGTTCAAATACCAGTTTCATTTGTGTCACTATACCCGCCTGGCGATGTTTCTCCTCATGTTAGTCCTGTTGAATCTGTATAACATGATGAACAGCAATTTTCTAAATATAGTTGCAGAGGTGAGTTTTTTCAAATTTAATATTGATATTGTCTGTCAAAGAAGAATTTATTATGAATGTGAAAAGGGTGAAACAGTGGATCCGTAAGAAGTAATTGTATATATGATATGTCTTTAAAGATCGGTTTTGTCGAAATTAATAAAATAAAATAAATAAATAAAATGATAAAAAAAAAATAAAGATAAAAATAAATTCATGAAGCTGGTCTGCTAACTAGCTAAATAAGCGAATAAATGAAAGAATAGATACATAGATGGATGAATAGATACGCAAATGAATAGGTAAACAAATTATTAAATACGTAAATAAAAAAAAGTAAATAAAAACAAACAAATAGATAAATAAATATATATGAACAAATAGTGTTATGATATTTAATAAACAAACAAACTAATCTCTTTAAACATATTTTTCCTGTGTATCTAATTTTCTTTTTTTTTCTTTTCTTTTCTTTTTGTTTCTTCTTGTTCTTTTTTCATTATGTTTCTTCCATTTCTTTCTGTCTTTCTTTGAAATTCTTGAGGGCATTTTAGCTTGAATAATTCCCAGTGAAAGAAAATCCTAAAAAGAATGAAGAAAAATGAGGTAACGTGATAAAAGAGGAGGAGGAAGAGGAGGGGAGAATAATGATTAAAAGAAGGAAAGGGAGAAGAAGTAGGAGAAGAAGAGAAAGAAAAATCAAAAGGAGGAAGAGAGAGAGAGAGAGATGAAGGAGAATGAAGGAAGAATAAAAGAAGAGAACATAAAAAAAACAGTAAAGAAGAAAAGAAAGAAGAAAAAGAAGATAAAAGAAATCAGAAATAAAGGAATAAAAAGTAAAAAGACAGACATAAAAACAAACAAACAAACAAAAAACCTCAAACTTTATGGAAATATCACAACTCGCTCCATCACCTTAGGGAAAAAATCCACGTTGACTTCCGTTGCAAAACCATTGCTGGCTTTGCAATGTTCTTCAAGTTATTGACACGAGAACTTGTATGATCTTCCTTAAGGAGAGTTTTTTTTTTTATTTCAGGACTGAAAGAGAGAGGAATCTGTATCTTTTCCTGATTTGGAATTAAAGTCGAAGTCGATAGGCAGAGGCGGTGATGTTGCAGAGGTGGTGGTGTTGCAGTGTCGAAGGAGGATTGGATGTGTGTCTGTTTGTTTGTTTGTGTGTGTCTGTTTGTTGGTGTGTGTGTATTTGTTTGTTTGTGTGTGTGTTTGTATGTGTGTGTGTTTGTATGTGTGTGTGTTTCTTTGTGTGTTTGTTTTTTTGTGTGTCTGTTTGTTTGTGTGTGTTTGTGTTTGTTTGTGTGTGTTTGTGTTTGTTTGTGTGTGTATTTATTAGTGTGTGTATTTGTTTGTTTGTTTATGTGTGTGTGTTTACTGTATGTTTGCTTGTGTTTTTTTGTTTGTGTGTTTGTTTGTTTGCTTTGTTTGTGTGTTTGTTTGTTTGCTTTGTTTGTGTGTGTGTTTTTGTTAGTTTGTTTGTAATACAATACACATCACATACAACACTTACAAAAAGGAAGTAGAGATAATGATAGTAATGTTGACTATGATGATGAATAAGATGATGGTGATGACGATGATGATACGATCGACGATGATGTTGATTATGTTGATGTTGACGCTGACGCTGATGTTGATGTTGACGCTGATGTTGATGTTGACGCTGATGTTGATGTTGACGCTGATGTTGATGTTGATGTTGACGCTGACGCTGATGTTGATGTTGACGCTGATGTTGATGTTGATGTTGACGCTGACGCTGATGTTGATGTTGATGACGATGTTGATGTTGACGACGATGTTGATGTTGACGACGATGATGTTGATAATGTTGATGTTGAAGTTGAAAAGGTAATGATGGAGAAGAATTGGAGAGCCACACGCCTCCTCCTCCTCCTCCTCTTCCTCCTCTTCCTCCTCTTCCTCCTCCTCCTCCTCCTCCTCCTCCTCCTCCTCCTCCTTCTCCTCCTCCTCCTCCTCCTCCTCCTCCACCGCCCACTCCCTGACCCGCATGCCCGCCCTCGCCACATCCTCATTGGGCATGTCTTTTGGGCGTGGGCGTGAGAGCCGTGGGGCGGAGGTGGGATGGGCGGTTGATGGTTTGAATGGGAGGAGGAGAGGGAAGGAGAGAAGGAAGGAGGGAGAGCCGGAGGGACGGGATGGATGGGTGGGTGGAGGGGTTGACAGATAGATAGATAGACCGATGGATAAGTGGAAAGAGAGGGGAGGGGAGAAAAAGTGAGACAGACAAATAGACAGACAAACAGATAGACAGACAGACAGATAGACAGATAAACAGACAGATAGACAGATAAACAGACAGATAGACAGACAGATAGACAGACAGACAGATATAGAGGCAGGGAGAGAGAGAGAAAGAGACAGAGATGGAGACAGAGATAGAAAGACAGAGAAAGAGAACACGAGAGAAAGAGAACACGAGAGAAAGAGGGAAAGTGAGAAAGAGAAAGCGAGAGACAGAGAAAGAGAAAGCGAAAGAAAGAGACAGAGAAAGAGAAAGCGAGAGAAAGAGACAGAGAAAGAGAGAAAGGGAGAAAGAGAAAGCGAGAGACAGAGAAAGAGAAGGCGAGAGAAAGAGACAGAGAAAGAGAGAAAGGGAGAAAGAGACAGAGAAAGAGAGAAAGGGAGAAAGAGAGACGAAAATTAATGCAACCAGAATAGGAAACATGTCTGATAATTCTCGACATGTTATTCACAGGAGATTTCCCTAATTATGTGTTAATTTGTTTATTTCATTCTTATCAAGAATTTTCCATTCTCTCTTGTCTTAATTCATTTTCCCTCTTCTCTCTCTCTTTCCACTTTCGTTCTCCCTTCTCTCTTCTTCCCAGTTTCGTTCTCCCTTCTCCCTTCGTCTCCCTCCCCTTATTCTCGCCAATTCCCATTCTCTCTCTCTAATCCCACCTCCTCCTTCCTCTCGCTCTTCCTAAACATCTCTTATTCTATCCTTTTCCCTCAGTCATCTATTCCCTTTTCCTCCTCCTCCCCCTTATTTTCTTCTTTCTCCTTCCTTCTCTTTCATCTCCTTCCTATCCCTCCAATTCTAACTCTCCCCTCATCCCTCCCGTTCTTCTCTTCCCTTCCTCTTCTACTCCCATTTCATTCTCCTTTTTCTCCTCTTCTACCTCTCTCTCTCTCTCTCTCTCTCTCTCTCTCTCTCTCTCTCTCTCTCTCTCTCTCTCTCTCTCTCTCTCTCTCTCTCTCTCTCCCTCTCCCTTTCCCCCCTCTATTCCCACTCCTCCTCTTCCTTCTCTCTTTCCCCTCTCTTCCCCCCCTCTCTCTACTTCCCTCCATTCCCCCCCACCCCCACATACCACCCACACTCCCACACCTCCACCCTCACCCCCCACCCCGCTTGCACAACACACCCGCCTTCTGCCTTATTATATTCCTTCCCTCGAGGCTCTTCTCTGCACACATCTGCGTCCCTGCGTTGGCTACAAGACACGCCGGGCCGGCACGAGGAAAACTTTAGAATTATGGCCCTTGAGGTGATGCTGGGGCGGTCTCGGCTGGTCGTCGGCGAGGGGCTTGGTGGGTTTTGGTCTTGGTGGGTGTTGCTGGGTGTTTGGTTGGTGTTGGTGGGTTTCGGTGGGTTTTGGTTGGTGTTGGTGGGTGTCGGTGGGTTTTGGTGGGTGTTGGTGGGTGTTGGTTGGTGTTGGTGGGTCTTGGTTGGTGTTGGTGGGTGTTGGTTGGTGTTGGTGGGTCTTGGTTGGTGTTGGTGGGTGTTGGTTGGTGTTGGTGGGTGTTGGTTGGTGTTGGTGGGTCTTGCTTGGTGTTGGTGGGTTTTGGTTGGTGTTGGTGAGTCTTGGTGGGTCTTGCTTGGTGGGTCTTGCTTGGTCTCGCTTGCTGGTTCGTTTTGCTTTTGTCTTGGTCGACCTTGCTTAGTTTTGGTCGGACCTACTTGGTCGGTCTTACTTGGTCTTCTTTGGATTTGCTTGGTCTGGCTTGGTCTTGGTCGGTTTTACTCGCTGGTTCATTTTGTTTGGCCTTGCTCATTCAAGAGCTTTTGCTCGGTCTTGGTCGGTTTTGCTCGCTAATTTGGTCTTGCTCGGTCTTTGTCGGTGTCTGAATGTGTCTGTCTGTCCTGGTTGGTAGCCTGTGTCTGTTTTTTTTGCTTGTCTGTGTGTCTGTCTTTATCTGTATTCGCTTGTCCAGCTCAAGTCCTTTTTTTCTCTCTTTGCATGGATTGAAGGATTAAAGAATGGATTGAAGGATTAAGAATGGATTGAAGGATTAAGAATGGATTGAAGGATTAAAGAATGGATTGAAGGATTAAGAATGGATTGAAGGATTAAAGAATGGATTGAAGGATTAAAGAATGGATTGAAGGATTAAAGAATGGATTGAAGGATTAAGAATGGATTGAAGGATTAAAGAATGGATTGAAGGATTAAAGAATGGATTGAAGGATTAAGAATGGATTGAAGGATTAAAGAATGGATTGAAGGATTAAGAATGGATTGAAGGATTAAGAATGGATTGAAGGATTAAAGAATGGATTGAAGGATTAAAGAATGGATTGAAGGATTAAGAATGGATTGAAGGATTAAGAATGGATTGAAGGATTAAAGAATGGATTGAAGGATTAAGAATGGATTGAAGGATTAAAGAATGGATTGAAGGATTAAGAATGGATTGAAGGATTAAAGAATGGATTGAAGGATTAAAGAATGGATTGAAGGATTAAAGAATGGATTGAAGGATTAAGAATGGATTGAAGGATTAAAGAATGGATTGAAGGATTAAGAATGGATTGAAGGATTAAGAATGGATTGAAGGATTAAAGAATGGATTGAAGGATTAAAGAATGGATTGAAGGATTAAGAATGGATTGAAGGATTAAAGAATGGATTGAAGGATTAAAGAATGGATTGAAGGATTAAGAATGGATTGAAGGATTAAGAATGGATTGAAGGATTAAGAATGGATTGAAGGATTAAAGAATGGATTGAAGGATTAAAGAATGGATTGAAGGATTAAGAATGGATTGAAGGATTAAGAATGGATTGAAGGATTAAGAATGGATTGAAGGATTAAGAATGGATTGAAGGATTAAAGAATGGATTGAAGGATTAAGAATGGATTGAAGGATTAAAGAATGGATTGAAGGATTAAAGAATGGATTGAAGGATTAAGAATGGATTGAAGGATTAAGAATGGATTGAAGGATTAAGAATGGATTGAAGGATTAAGAATGGATTGAAGGATTAAGAATGGATTGAAGGATTAAGAATGGATTGAAGGATTAAGAATGGATTGAAGGATTAAAGAATGGATTGAAGGATTAAAGAATGGATTGAAGGGATTAAAGAATGGATTGAAGGATTAAAGAATGGATTGAAGGATTAAAGAATGGATTGAAGGATTAAGAATGGATTGAAGGATTAAGAATGGATTGAAGGATTAAGAATGGATTGAAGGATTAAGAATGGATTGAAGGATTAAAGAATGGATTGAAGGATTAAGAATGGATTGAAGGATTAAGAATGGATTGAAGGATTAAGAATGGATTGAAGGATTAAGAATGGATTGAAGGATTAAGAATGGATTGAAGGATTAAAGAATGGATTGAAGGATTAAAGAATGGATTGAAGGATTAAAGAATGGATTGAAGATTAAAGAATGGATTGAAGGATTAAAGAATGGATTGAAGATTAAAGAATGGATTGAAGGATTAAAGAATGGATTGAAGGATTAAGAATGGATTGAAGGATTAAAGAATGGATTGAAGGATTAAGAATGGATTGAAGGATTAAGAATGGATTGAAGGATTAAAGAATGGATTGAAGGATTAAAGAATGGATTGAAGGATTAAGAATGGATTGAAGGATTAAGAATGGATTGAAGGATTAAGAATGGATTGAAGGATTAAAGAATGGATTGAAGGATTAAAGAATGGATTGAAGGATTAAAGAATGGATTGAAGGATTAAAGAATGGATTGAAGGATTAAAGAATGGATTGAAGGATTAAAGAATGGATTGAAGGGATTAAGAATGGATTGAAGGATTAAAGAATGGATTGAAGGATTAAAGAATGGATTGAAGGATTAAGAATGGATTGAAGGATTAAAGAATGGATTGAAGGATTAAAGAATGGATTGAAGGATTAAAGAATGGATTGAAGGATTAAGAATGGATTGAAGGATTAAAGAATGGATTGAAGGATTAAAGAATGGATTGAAGGATTAAGAATGGATTGAAGGATTAAAGAATGGATTGAAGGATTAAAGAATGGATTGAAGGATTAAAGAATGGATTGAAGGATTAAAGAATGGATTGAAGGATTAAAGAATGGATTGAAGGGATTAAAGAATGGATTGAAGGATTAAAGAATGGATTGAAGGATTAAAGAATGGATTGAAGGATTAAGAATGGATTGAAGGATTAAAGAATGGATTGAAGGATTAAGAATGGATTGAAGATTAAAGAATGGATTGAAGGATTAAAGAATGGATTGAAGGATTAAGAATGGATTGAAGGATTAAGAATGGATTGAAGATTAAAGAATGGATTGAAGGATTAAAGAATGGATTGAAGGATTAAAGAATGGATTGAAGGATTAAAGAATGGATTGAAGGATTAAGAATGGATTGAAGGATTAAAGAATGGATTGAAGGATTAAAGAATGGATTGAAGGATTAAAGAATGGATTGAAGGATTAAAGAATGGATTGAAGGATTAAGAATGGATTGAAGGATTAAAGAATGGATTGAAGGATTAAAGAATGGATTGAAGGATTAAAGAATGGATTGAAGGGATTAAAGAATGGATTGAAGGATTAAAGAATGGATTGAAGGGATTAAAGAATGGATTGAAGGGATTAAAGAATGGATTGAAGGGATTAAAGAATGGATTGAAGGATTAAAGAATGGATTGAAGGGATTAAAGAATGGATTGAAGGGATTAAAGAAGAAATGGATGAAGGATTAAGAATTGATTGAAGGATTAAAGAATGGATTGAAGGGATTAAAGAATGGATTGAAGGATTAAAGAATGGATTGAAGGATTAAAGAATGGATTGAAGGGATTAAAGAATGGATTGAAGGATTAAAGAATGGATTGAAGGGATTAAAGAATGATGAAGGAATTAAAGAATGGATGAAGGATTAAGAATGGATTGAAGGGATTAAGAATGGATTGAAGAGTAAAGGAATGGATTGAAGGGATTAAAGAATGGATTGAAGGATAAAGAATGTTGAAGGGGATTAAAGAATGGTTTGAAGATTAAAATTGATTGAAGATTAAAAGAAGGGATTGAAGGAATAAAGATATGGAGTGAAGATTAAAGAATGGATGGAAGTTGTAAAGAGGATTGATTGAAAGATGATGGGTTGTTTTTTGTTGTCGGTTGTGGTTTTTGAGTGATGATTAAAAATGTTTGATATTAAAGATGGGGTGTTAGTGGATAGAGGGTTGTTTGGTATTTGTGGTTATTTAAATTGGATTAAGGGATAAGAAGGAGTGAAGGGTTAAAGAATGATTGAAGAATAAAGAATATTGAAGGGATGAAAGAATGGATCGAAGGGATTAATATTGGGATGATGGATAAAAGAATGGATTAAGGATTAAGAAGGGATTGAAGGATTAAAGAATGGATTGAAGGGATTAAAGAATGATTGAAGATAAAGAATGGATTGAAGGGATTAAAGAATGGATCGAAGGATTAAGGAATGGATTGAAGGATTTAAGAAGATTGAAGGAGAAGAATGATTGAAGATTAAAGAAGAGTGTAGATTATAAAGGGATTTGAAGGGATTAAGAATGTTGAAGGATTAAAGAATGATTGAAGGATTAAAAAGATTGAAGATTAAAGAATAGATCAAAGGGATTAAAGAATGGATCGAAGGATTAAAGAATGGATTGAAGGAATAAAGAATGGATCGAAGGGATTAAAGAATGGATTGAAGGATTAAAGAATGGATTGAAGGAATAAAGAATGGATTGAAGGAATAAAGAATGGATCGAAGGATTAAAGAATGGATTGAAGGGATTAAAGAATGATGTGAAGGGACTTAAGAATGGATGAAGGATTAAAGAATGGATTGAAGGACTAAATGTAATGGATTGAAGGGATTAAAGAATGGATTGAAGGGATTAAAGAATGGATTGAAGGAATAAAAGAATGGATTGAAGGGATTAAAGAATGGATTGAAGGGATTAAAGAATGGATTGAAGGGATTAACGAATGGATGAGGGATTAAAGAAATGTGATTGAAGGATTAAAGAATGGATTGAAGGATTAAAGAAGGATGAAGGATTAAAGAATGGATTGAAGGTATTAAAGAATGGATTGAAGGGATTAAAGAATGGATTGAAGGAATAAAGAATGGATTGAAGGGATTAAAGAATGGATCGAAGGGATTAAAGAATGGATTGAAGGATTTAAGAATGGATTGAAGGGATTAAAGAATGGATTGAAGGATTAAAGAATGGATTGAAGGGATTAAAGAATGGATCGAAGGGATTAAAGAATGGATTGAAGGGATTAAAGAATGGATCGAAGGGATTAAAGAATGGATGAAGGATTAAAGTAAGGATCGAAGGGTATTAAAGAATGGATGAAGGATTAAAGAATGGATTTGAAGAATAAAAGGATGGATTGAGGGATTAAAGAAGGATTGAAGGTATTAAAAGAATGGATGAAGGATTAAAGAATATTGAAGGGATTAAAGATGGATTGAAGGATTAAAGAAAGAATGGATTGAAGGGATTAAAGAATGGATATTGAAGGGATTAAAGAATGGATGAAGGATTAAAGAAATGGATTGAAGGAATAAAGAATGGAATTGAGGGATTAAAGAATGGATTGAAGGAATTAAAGAATGGATTATTGCAAGAAATAAAGAATGGATTGAAGGGAAAAGAATGGATGAAGGATTAAAGAATGGAATGAAGGGATTTTAAACGGAATGATGAAGGGAAAAGACGGATTGGAAGGATTTAAAGAATGGATTTAAGGATTAAAGAATGGATTGAAGGGAGTAAAGAAGGATTGAAGGGATTAAAGAATGGATGAAGGAGGGATTATTAAAGAATGGATGAAGGAATAAAGAATGGATTGAACGGGATGTTAAAGAATGGATCGAAGGGATTAAAGAATGGATTGAAGGATTGTAAAGAATGGAATTTGAGGGGGCGAATTAAAGAATGGATGAAGGATTAAAGAATGGATTGAAGGGATAAAGAGGATGAAGGGAGTTAAAGAATGGATTGAGAGGATTAAAAGAATGGATCGACGGATTAAAAGAATGGATTGAAGGGATTAAAGAATGGCTTGAAGGGATTAAAGAAGGATGCAAGGAACTAAAGAATGGACGAAGGATAAAGCATGGATGAAGGGATAAAGAATGGATTGAAGGATTAAAGAAGGGATCGAGGGATAAAAGAATGGATTGAAGGGATTAAAGAATGGATCGAAGGATTAAGGAATGGATCGAAGGGATTAAAGAATGAATTAACGAGAAAAAGAAAAGACGAGTCTAATTTTCTCTCTGTTTGTATTTTATTCTTTTTCTGTTTCTTATGGTTTATTTTTCTCCTCTTTCTTTTCTCCTTTTCTTCTACTCCAGTTCCTCTGGTTCAGCTCCTCATTTCTCTGTTTGTCTGTCTGTCTCTGTCTCTGTCTCTCTCTCTTTCTCTCTTTTTCTCTCTCTCCTCCCTCCCTCTCCCGCTCCTTCCCTCTCCTGCTCCCTCTATTTCCCTCTCTGTCTCTCTCTATCTCCCTCTCCCATCCCCCTTCCCTCTCCAGCTCCTCTATCTCCGTCTCTGTCTCTCTCTATCTCCCTCTCCCCCCCCCTTCCCTCTCCAGCTCCCTCTATCTCCCTCTCTGTCTCTCTCTATCTCCCTCTTCCCCCCTTCCTCTCTGTCTCTCTCACTGTCTCTCTCTCTCTTTCCCTCCCCCTTTCCCTCCCTTCCTTTTTCTCTCTCCCTTTCACCCTTTCTCCCTTTCTCCCTTCTTCGTCCCCCAGCTTCCCCCGACCTGGCATGCACAGCTCCATGACCGCCTGACAGTCAGTCTCGTCCTCTGTAATCTGCACTTCCCTCCTGTCACATTCGGGTCTCTTTAGGGTACTTCTGTGGCGCTGCTCTGCTGTCATTAAGGTCTCTCTCTCTCTTTCTCCCTTGCTCTCTCACTCTCTATTTCTCTTTCTTTCGCTCTCTGTTTCTCTTTTTCTCTTTCTCTTTCTCTCTCTCTCCCGTTCCTTCTCTCATCTGCTCCCTCTATCTTTGTCTCTCTTTCTCTTTTTATCTCTCTCCCATTCCTTCCCTCATCTGCTCCCTCTATCTTTGTCTCTCTTTATCTCCCTCTCTGTTTTTCTCTATCTCCCTTCCCCCTTTGCCCTCCCTTCATTTTTCTCTTCTTCTCTTTCTTGCTCTCTCTCTCTTTCTGAGTGTGTTTCTGTCTGTTTGGATGTGCCTGTGATTGTGTCTGTATGTCTGTCTCTACTTGATTTGTTTGTATCTGACTCTGCCTCCATCTCTGTCTGTCTGTCTGTCTGCCTCTCTCTCTTTTTCGCTCTCTCTCTCTCTCTCTCTTTTTCGCTCTTCTCTCTCTCCCTCCCTTTGCTCTCTCTCTCTCTCTCTCTTTCGTCGCTCTTCT